CCCGGGTTCCAGAGGGCCAGAGACCAGCAAGGTTGGTGTTGGCAGAGAGAAGGGAGAGAGACCAGAGAACATTCATTCACTGATCTCATTCCCACTGAATGAACATGAAAGCAACAATGATTTGTTCACTTCTAATTTCTGAGCTGTCATTCACTGGCCACATAGTTTTGGAAAGAAGCTGATAATGTACATTCTGTGCTTGCTCAGCTTCAATGGGCTGCAAAAGTGACATTCGGGATCTAACAGACCCCTAATATTTCCTTAAAGAGCACCTGTCACCAGTAACATGCTACCACATGGGGGGCTATCAGCTCCCTATGTATTAGCAATAACGTTAAATAACAAAAAGTTTGAAAAACTATTGTTGAATAAAATAATTAAACCACAAAATTTTAAAACCCCACTGCCCCTGCACACATATGAATGGAAACTCATGGTTCAGATGTGCTTACGTATAAAAACATAATTTGTGTCACATATGTTGGGTATTGTCATTCTCACTCTCTGCAGTGAGAGCAATAATTCTAGAGTCATTATTAATGATTGCCTCTAAATTGATGACCTGTACAAGCTTTAAAATGTAGCCTATGGACAATTTGGGATACTGAACTTTTTTGCTGTTTCACAGGTGCATAAAAGTTTGAAACTTGACATGTTTGGTATCTATTTAGTCAGCACTACCTCATCTTTTATATTTGATCAAAAGTGGGTATTATATTGTGTCTGTGTGTGCGCTAAGATCAATTTGAATGCAATTTTTACAGAGAAAAAAAAAAGTATGTAATTTGTGTGGCTTTAGGACTGATTCCCTCCAGATGCGTTGGAGCTGCACCAACACTAAATAAGGTGATTTGCCTTGTTTCAGACAAGCTCAGTTCACACCACTGCGTTGTGAGGTGTGTGCTGAAAAAAGTACTGCATGCAGTACTTTTTTTCAGAGCAGTGGAGTGGAGCATAAAACAACTGCATTGCACCTCTCTGTGCCCATAGAACTTAATACAATGTCACTCGTGACATATCAATAAAGTTCTAATAAAAAAAGTCAACAGTGAAATTTGCCAGGATTGGCGCATCAGCACTGTACCTGCCAATGCACCAAAGCAGCTGTGTGGTCCTTAAAAAGATTTTTTTGAGGCTTGAAAATTGATTATGAGAATAATTCTATTGTATTACTTTTCTAAATACTATAAACAGCAGCTCAGCAAGAAACCTGCAATTTTGTTTTATGAATATACAGAAAGTTTGGACTTTCCATGTTACTGCACTGCATATATAGACCTGAGTCAGAATTTTTTTTGGACATCCCCTTTAAAGGATAGGCTGACTCTAAATCCATTAGGAAATTGTATTCTGAGAATTCAGAATAAGTATATAAAATGATAACAACATTAACTATATTTGTACTAAATTTCACCATTCTAACAATCCAGTAATAATATAAAAATTGATACCTGTAAAATCATAGCAGTTTAATATTATAGTGCAAGGACCATGCAATGCTTTATATTATATCCCTATTACTCTATATGTTTACCTTTACTTTCATGTTCATCACTATTCATATGTTTTATGTAGGTTTTATGCTGCTGAGATTGCCATTGGTCTTTTCTTCCTCCACAACAAGGGAATCATCTACAGGTATTGCATGCACATTCTTGTCCTGTTAGTTCGTAGGATCAGTTCATGTCCCCTGTCTTATAGTAAAATATGGGGATATTGTCCTTTCAAATGCAAATAGAAATTTTCAAAAAGGAGTAAAAGTAAGGCCCCGTTCACACTAAGTGTTTTATCGCACGATTTCCACCGCGAAAGCGTGCATATTTCCCTGTGATATCGCTCTTTGTAGCTTGTCCAATGCATTTCAATGGAGCTGTTCACATCTCACAGCTCAACGTCGCCTGTAGCTCGTCACTCAAGCTTGTAGCTCGTACACGACCCTTTTTTCCACGGATGTCGCGCAACTCAGCTCCAATAGACTCCATGGTGCCGCGTAAAATCGCGCATTACCGGCGATATTGCACGACTTTGTCGCGTGATATCGTGCTACAAAAAGGTTACTTTTGCACTGAAAAAATGGAAGGAAAGAATGATGTCACATCAAGATCGCTGTTGATTGGTTACAGCCCAATGTAGCAGCGACGTAGTCCCGCCCACAAAATGCTCTATGTAGCGCAATAAAATGTGCACTGTCACTCAATATCGTGCAATGTAGCTCAAAGCTGCTCAGCATGAAATCACGCGGAAAAACGCGCAATATCCATGTCGCTCCGTGTGAATAGGGTCTAAAGTGTAGTAGTCCATGGCAGCTGTATGGATTTGTCTTGCTATACTCTGGCTTTTTTGCATGAACTATGGTTATTAAATAAGATTCAAAGCCAGTAGATTCATGCCAATAAATGTTATGCCAGAATGGATAGTGTGCATTAGATGATGTAATGTACAGTTAAAGTGAACATGAGCTGGAAACTCCTTATTTAATGCAGCAATGGCAGCATATGCAAGTACCTCTGAGCACCTTGTTTTGTTTTTTATTTATACACCTTGATACACCTTGATAAATTCCAGGTGTTCTATTATACAGGTTGGTCATGTGTAATCGGTTATGGGTTAGATGGTTTGTGTGCTTGACCCTTCCAGCATCACTATTGGTCCATTATTGTGATGGTTGGCTTCAATACCTAATTGGCTGGGCACATTTTTGCTATGGAGCACAGCAGTGGAGAGATCCCTTAACAGAAAGACCATTCTTCAAGAAAGCACCTAATAGGGAATTAAGATTTCCTTACTAAATCATGTGGCAGATGGCAGGTATTCCCCCTAACAAATGTTAGCATTTTGTTTACAAACAAGATCTCCATTGGGACCCCTCCTGTAGCTCACTCTTCCATGGAGCACAGACTTCGTGTTTGGAGCCTGCTGTACACTTTGCAAGCCAGGAGTGAAATGTTAGGTGGTCTTTTGGACCACTTTACAAATTCACTTGCTTGAACCATCCCAATTCACTGCAGGTTTTAATTCTAACAAATGAATCTACTCTTCCCTAATGTTAGGGAATGTTAATTGGTCAAATTAAAGGTGAACTAAAGTTTAATTTAAAATCGTTGTCAGGTAGATGCTATTTTTCTGTTTTTAAATTTCAACTGTATGTCATGTGTATGTTTTTTTTTTCTATTGAAATAATTCCCTGTATTCTGGTGACGTTGTATATAGGTACTGTCTAATTTGTTAATATTGTGTTATATGTTTTCATAGAGGTCTGTGGCACTCTGCTTATCTTTGTTCTAGTATTATAGTACGAATACCCTATGCACTTTTTCCACTTTTCTCTTCATGCTGACACTGCCTTTCTGTACACAGAGACCTGAAGCTGGACAATGTTATGCTGGACGCTGAAGGACACATTAAAATTACCGACTTTGGAATGTGTAAAGAGAACATTTTTAGTGGAGCTACTACTCGCACTTTCTGTGGAACTCCAGACTACATCGCTCCAGAGGTACTGCCCCTCTTCTTCACCATGCTCGCATAAATCTAGATCACAAGGACCTTTACAATTTGAACATACTAAGTATGCACTATGACTTTAAAAGGAATATTTCATACTTACATTTTCAGTGAGTAGATGGCGCTCCAGGCTACTTTTCACTTGTTTACCTGTGTATTCCTTTCTGCTGTGTACAGATCTCATTATCTCAGGCTTAAAAAGGCTCATATTTCCAAAAACAACTGTATGCATCAGAGAAGGGACTCATTATCCCTTGTTGCCTGCTCTGTCCACATGGGGCATGGACTTAAAATAAAATAAGAGATAGACAGTCTAAAGGTGCTGCTGCAGAAAAAAATCATAGTGCATTGTGACACAAGTGTCACGGATTCTCCCTGTAGTCTATGTGCATTTGTGAAACAAAGATATATGGGGGGGGGGGACGATGGACGATAAAGCAAGTAGGAATTTGGGTAGGCAGAATTAAAATGTACATATTGCTTTGCCCTGCATGCAGCTTCAGGTATAATAGTATAGGCAATGGAAGTAGCAGTTATCACTACAACTGTTTTGAAACCATAGTCAATGAAACTTACTGAAAACTAACTATTTGACTGTATCATGAACATTTTAGACCAGTGGTCCTCAACCACCCAGCCACAGCCTTCCTCCTGCTGGGCTGCAGCTTCTGGTCTGCTTTATGCCAATGGTATAGCGCATTCACTTGCTCTGCTGTTAATGCACTGCCCTGGTGCAAACAGTATTATTTGTGCTCTGCAAGGCATCAGACGTCAAGTGCCTCCTGCCCCTACCATTTACATTCACACAGTTCAATTCTGAGGCATTCACACCAGTCTTTACACCAGAGGAGCTTACACTCTAATGCCCCACCATAGCAACATAGTAGGTAAGGTTGAATAAAGACAAGGGTCAATCCAGTTCAACCTATGGGTGTATGTTTTTGCATGTCTACCACAGTCACACACAATTAGTATGCCTTTATATAGCTCTGACATACGTCAGAAGGAAATAGAGAATGAGAGCACGGGAGTGAGAAAGAGGAGAAAAAGGCAGAGCAAGAATGAAAAAAAAAAAGTCACACACTATTATTATACATTTATAAAGCTCTGATATTTTCTGCAGTGCTGTACAGAGACCACTAAGACATTCACGTTAGTATCTGCACCAGAAGAGCCTACACTCTAATGTCCCACCACAGTCACACACTATTATTATAATACAGACCTGACATATTCTGCAGTGCTATATATAGAACACATTCACATAAGTCTTTGCACCAGAGCAGCTTACACTCTAATGTTCCACCACAGTCACATACTATATTATTATTATTATTATTATTATTATTATTATTATTATTATTATTATTATCCCTTATATAGCTCTGACACATTCCACAGTGTCAGAAGGAAAGCGAGAATGAGAAGAGAAAGGAGAGAGAGAGGAGACAAATAATGATTTTGTCAATGTGTCTATTTAAATTACAGCATATCCCATACTTTTATTGTTTGAGTTTACACTTGTTTTTACTTTTTACTGTTGGAGCATGGAAGGTTTTGGTTTCACTAAGGTTTTACAATCACTGTTTTAGACCATAAACATGGGGAAGGAAAGATGTATCCGTATGATTCATTCTATTTTACATCATAAATCATTTACTGCAGCGGTTCCAAAAGTGTCATATGTATACGCTAGGGTACTCTTCCAGGTAAAAGGCAGGGTCGGTGCAAGGATTTTTGCCAACTCAGGCGAAGGTGCATTTTGCCGCCCCCCCCTCCCCGGCTAGCACGCACGCACACACACACACACAAATCCCAGCAATAATACATTATACAGGCTGCTTAATATATTATTGCAGAGATTTGGTGTTCATCTATAGATCTATAGCTGTGTTCTGCAGTGTGCCGCTTTTTTTTTTTTAAACAGAAAGCTTTTAAAACAGGTCCCCCTTACCTGTTTCTGAACCCTTGTAAGTCGCGGCGGCGGCTCTGCGGGCGTGTGTCCGGCCTGTGTGGTGAGCGTGGCGTACGCGGCGTCACTCGTGTATGGAGCTGCGAACAGGCGGGCGTGAGAGGCGAGTGGGAAATTAAAATTTTTTCATGGTCGACAAATCGACCATGAAAAACATTGACAACGTTTTCCATTGTTGATTTTAATCGACTAATTGTTGCAGCTCTATATTATTGCTGGGATTTGTAGTCCTCTATAGCTGGTGGTATTCTCCATTGCGCTGTATAATGATTATACTGCGCAATGCAGATTACCACTGACCAGTTATAGAGGAACTACAAATCCCAGCAATAATACATTATACAGCGCAATGGAGAATACCAGCAGCTACAGAGGAACAACAAATCCCAGCAATAATATATTAACCAGCCTGTATAATGTATTATTGCTGGGATTTGTTGTTCCTCTATAGCTGCAGGTGTTCAGCATTGTGCCGCTGTATTATACAATGCACAATACAATACACAATACAATACACAATACAATATACAATGCACAATACAATACACTTTACACAATATATTATACAATGCACAATACAATACTGTATTGTATTGTGCATTGTATATTGTATTGTGCATTCTATATTGTATTGTGTATTGTCAATACACAATACAATATACTGTATATACAATGCACAATACAATACAAAATAATACAATACAATGCAGCATACCACGTGCACTTTGTCTTTGTAACATTACATACCGCTCCCACTTCAGCCAGCTCCCGATCCCTATTCCCGATATGAGTCCGACCGTGGGTCACCAAGAGAGGGTGAAATCGCCTCCTTACTCGGTTCCAACTTCAAAATTTGTGCACCGGGTGCTCCCGAGTCCCTCAACAGGTCGCCGTCGCCTCCAGGATGACGCCACTGCCGCCACACTGCCTGCTGGTCCGGTCTGTCCGTTGCTCCGCCTCCTGCAGCCCTCGCTCCAGTCCTTCACATGCGGCTGAGCGGCCAGGGGAACCAGGGGCGGGGCCACTTACGTCACTTACTGACGTAGCCAAGGAAGGACGAGACACTCAGTGAGACTGAGTGTCACTGAGTCTGAGACGTGAGACTGCACTGCACAGGTCAGCGCCGCATCCTTCAGATGCCGGCCGCCCGCCCGCAGCGGCAGCCCACACACTGAGAGTCTGGTCTCGATCGGGCGACTTTTCCGCCCTGTTCCCTGGCGCCGTAAGGCAAGTGCCCATCTTGCCTTGCGCTAGCGCCGGCAAGCTTAGTACGTATGTGCTATGCAAAAACAAACTGGTTTAATTATTTTCAGTTATTTCAAAAGTATAATGCATTGCTTGGAACAGAAGTTATGTCCAATAAGGGCAAATTTAGACCTGTGTGTTGTGGTTACCACAATGTACAGCAAAGCATGTAACATTTTAAATGGCACTTCAACTCAATAAGTCAACGTACCACCAATGTACCTGTGTTGCCGTGTAGCACCATGCACAGTAACGCACTGCATTAACAACAGTAGTACGTGTCTACTTATAAAGGTGCCCATACAATTTATCTTAAGCTGGCCATACACCTTACAATTTATCTGCAGATTTTCTGTGGTCAGATGGAAAAAGTGCAACTGATTGGCCCAGGTGGAGATTACTCCATCCACACATCTAATTGTAGATGGAGGAATCTGTTACACCTTTTCCATCTGACCACAGAAAATCTGCAGATAAATTGTAAGGTGTATGGCCAGCTTAAGTCTGTGGTTCGTTAGCCATTCAATTAAATGAATAATGCACCACAAAGGAAAGCATATGTCTGAATAAGCTTTTAAATATACACATTTGATACTTTATTTGAGATAACACAACTGGCACAGCAGGGAGTACATGGTAATTATTTGTTGTAGTGAAGGAGTACATTATACAGTATATAACCCTGAGAAACACTGACCCACAGTATGAAACGTGCTACATTCAGATGGAACATAAAACCACTAGATGGCACAGTTCTCTAACATTTAGTCTGTCGGTTTTAGTTTTTTTTTAAGTCTTTGCTTCCAAGGATTCAGTTAATGCCGGTATGCAATATATTTTATGTATTTCTTTTTGTTTTACAAATTTTATACTTTTTTTAAAAAATTCTGTTACTTAAAATGAGTGGTTCGGTTTGGTAGTCGGTATTAATTTTTCAAAATTAGTTCTTTCCCAGTGAATCATGATACTCCAACAATCAAAATTTATGAAATGCACTATTTGAATGATTTGACCTTTTTGAAGGGTCTGGACTTGAACTTGAAATGGAATTGCATTGCATTGAGCTTATATTTATTTATTTTTTTGCCATACATCAATGTTGCATTTTTATAAAGCTAGGATGATTTGGGCCCTTGTGTTTTTATTGTTTTTAATACTCTATGCAATTATGCAAATCAATGTGAAGGCAAAATAAAAAAAAACACATTGCAAACATTTCTTCAGCGCCAGCTGCTTTCCTAAAAGTATGCTGTGTTTGACTTGCTTCTGAGTCTGATGCCTATGTACAGTAACTCTTACATGGTTTAACTGCATTGAAATGGTTGAGGATTGTTTTTGGCCCTGAGAATTGGGTTCTGGTAGTTTTTGGTGCAAAAACAAGTAAAAAAACCTGTAGTCTGACTTCAATCCTTAATTGATGTCGACTTTAGCCTTGCTCTTAACACTCCTTTCATCTAAACCCCATAACTTAACCTGTAGATTTACCCTGAACATGGTCCTAAAAGGTAACCCTTAGTTAGGGGTTCATGAAGGGGTTCAAATGAACATTAGGGGGTTCATTTATAAAAGTTCCGTCTGGCTATATGGTGGGCGGATGCCGTTTGCATGGCACTGGCTCCTCTACATGGTGCTGATGAGTATAGGAATTTCCTATACTTGTCAGTGCCATCTAGGGGAGCTAGAGCTGAGTGGAGCTTTTACAAATGCACCACTATGACTTAACCCTTACGTTTTCCCAGACCTTAAAGAAGAACTCGGGCATATGAAATCTTAAC